TGGGGATACAGTACTGCTTGGCCCGCGATATGAGCCAGGACGGAGTGTTGACCTTTACCCTGTTCTCGAGAAGTCCATGAATTATAACCTAAAAGTTTACACAGCAATAGGATGAAGGAACTCAGGAAGGAAATGAGGCCCGGTGGTCGGAGCCCACACCTGCATTCTATGGCGCTATCTTCCACGCAGTTCAGCAGGAGCACCCCGTTCGACTCGGGGCCGGGCCATCCGACGGGAAGTTTCCTTTTTAAAAAGAACAACACATTCAATTTTCGTGGTTGGTCAGCGAGGAGGAGCAGCGCCGAAATCTAAACAAACACAAGGAAAGAGTGCTGGGTAACTCTGAGCTTCCGTCGAGGGAGTTGTGTTGAATTTATGGTCATTGGTTTTGATTACTCCCGGATGACAGTGTACGGGCCTCGGAATCCCATGGCCACGACACGACACATTGCACGCAAAGAGAGGAACCAGGCGGCCCGGTGGTGGGAGACCACACCAACATTCTATCGCGCCATCTCTACCTTCAGTAGGAGCACCTCGTTCGACTCGGGGCCGGGCCATCTTCGCATTTCTATCTTCCTTTTTGTTTGGCGCCCCGCAGTGCCTTGCCTTGTGTTGCGATCTTCTATGAATTTGGATGGGAAATATTTTTCCACAGTTTCATGGTTGGGGATTTTCTATTTGGTCGGCTAGAAGGAGAAGACTAGAATCTGCCGACACAGATGGTATTGGACACATACATGAGACACCCCATTGAGGATCTATGGCACCGGAGTTGATCGCTCGCTGATATTAATTCGCACCTCCCATGCCCACGAGAGGGAAGAGGCCCGGTGGTGGGAGACCAGCCCTGCGCAAATTGGTGATCACCTGGAGCACATGTAGCAGGGTAATCCCGTTCGACTCGGGGCCGGGCCGTTCTCGTTCGTCTGCCTTTTTTTCGCGTCGCGTTGACGTATTTTTTACATATATTGTTGAGTGGGACTTGCGGGGTTTGGATTTTCTGCGGACGGGCGGGAGGGCAGGAGCAGGAGCAAGAGGTAAGGAAGGATTGTACGATCGAGATAAACTTAGGCTACCCACTCAAGTGGCAGGGTGAATCCGAAGAAAAGTGTCCCACCACACATCGAACATTCAGAGAGGGAAGAAGCCCGGTGGTGGGAGCCCACGCCTACGTTTGATTATGTATGGAACGAGATGTAGGAGGAGCGCCCCGTTCGACTCGGGGCCGGGCCGTTCCCGTGGATCGAGTCTTTTTTAAAAAATTTTATTGGGGGGGGGGAGGGGGGCTGTCGTGCCTTGCCTTGCGTCGAGCTTTTCTATATACACTTGGGAATTTGGGCGGGCGGGCGGGGAGATCATCGAAGTGGACTGAGGGAGAGAAAAGACGAGCCGTCCGCGGAGGGACGGAGGGGCGAGGTATTTTAGCGGATACCGTCGGCCAAGCAGGATTAATGACTGGAAGCGGCGAAAGTCGCGCTGCGGGAATTTTGGTTGATGGGTGATCAATAGATAGATGGACAAGACATTAATCAAGGGGAAAGTCAGAAGGAGAATAGTCAGATATGACAAGTAAATATTATCCTGCTTATCCTGCTTATCCGCGACGAAAATAGGTTTCTGCCGTCAGGCTCGCGCGAGAAGCCTCAATACAGCAATTTTACTTAGAATAGAATAGCAGATCCGAGAAAAACCACGGAAGGAATACAGAGAGAAAGGGCGAGAAGGACCCAGTAACGATCATGCCGCAGTAACTTGAAGGTCGGTCCGGAGTCTAGACATTTCCGCGTGCATCACAACTGCCAGCGTCCGCAGCCTCAGGCCCTCAGCGATCCCAGGACTCGGAGGATCCGCAAAAGGATGAGGCGCAAATCGAGAGCGTTCGAGACCCGCTTGCACAGCCTCCGTGTGCTAACCGATAAGATAAGACTGCAAATCAAATGTGACGCCACAATTTCCATTTTAATTTTAGAGGGCACGTGGTCGAGGTCCGGCTTCCAATGCTCAAGCCACGACCACGACGAGCGCTCGCTGTCCTGCTCGTCGGTGTCGGCAGCGTCGGCGCGCAGAACAACAACACATTCAACAACAACAACAGAGGCCACGTCTCCGCCGCCATCGGCATCGTTATCGGTCCGTCTCTCTTCCTTTCCTCGTATCCACGCAGACTAAATTCGCATCCGCAGCCGCGGCATTCATCCTCCTCCTCTGCTGCGCCCTCCAGCGGCGGCGCATGCAGCGCGGCGCGACGCAGTCCTACGTCCCCCCGCCGCTCCTCCTCTCCTCCGGCAGCGCAACCCGGTTCCCGCACGGGATGCAATACGGCGACGCGTATCCCAACGTCTACGCTGCCCCGTCGCCGTACCCGCAGCCGCAGCCGCAGCTGTATAACAATGCGAGCGAGTACCCGCCGACGGGCCCGGGCCCGCTGCCGCCGCCGCCATATGTGAAGGAGGGGGGCGGGTATGCGCCGGTGCGTCTTTCGCTTCTTGTTGCGTCTACGTCGCTGATGGATGGATGCACGCGTGTAGCCCCCCGGCCCACCGCCGCCGCCTATTGACGCCACGTACCCGGCCTCGCCCGCACACTACTACTCTCCGGTGCGCTTTCGCGTCTCCTCTTGCTCCGCTTTCGTTTTGGATTCTAACCCTGCGTTCAATCAAAGTCCCCCGGCCCCCCGCAGCGCGCACACATCTCCGTGCGTCTTACTCCTCCCTTCCATATGCGTGGATGCTAACCAATAAATCACCCGAAGTCCAACTCCGCAGACTTCAACGGCGGCTTCCGCCCATCCGGGTAGCCCTGCGCTTGCGCCCGTGTCTGCCTGCGTTTCCCGTCTCGTCTCGTCTCGTCTTCCTGTTTCTTGTACCCATAGCGCACTATATGCATCTTTTCTGGTTCTCGGGATCCCTGCGCCTCGCTCGTCCCCGCCTCGTGTCTCATGTCTCGCCTCCTCGGACGTCCTTCCCATCCGCGTGCCCCGCCGTTCACGTCGTCCCTCCTTCCACTTCCACTTCCACTTCCACTTCCACTTCCCACCCCCACCCCCGTTCCCCCGTTCCCCCGCCCCCCTCCCCGCGCTCAACCCCGGCCGTAGGGGCCCCTCCGTCGCTCCCGCTCGCAGCGTCGCCTACGCCGTAGCCCCCGCGCCCATGTCCCTCCCCCCCTGGTTTCTTGCTCTTCTCTTTCTCTTCTCTTTCTCCTCTCCCTCCCTCTGCCTCGTACTTAAGCTAAGCTTAGCTCAGCGGCCATGGCGCCCCTCCCTCCTCTTCTCCTCCCTCCCTCTTCTCCTCATCGTCTCTTCCCTCCTTCGCAGGCGCAGCTTCGCGTCCCGTCCCCCATCTCCACTGGCGGACTCGACTGCACTCGACTGCGTTTCAGGGTAGACTCGAACAAGCTCAAGTTCGGAACTGCCTGCCATCGAAATCCTGCCAGTAGTACCAGACCTGGAACCCACCAAGTGAAATACGACCCGGTGGTGGATGCCCATACCTACGTTTTCTATTATAGGGAGATATGGTACGATTATGCAGGAGGACCCCGTTCGAGCCGGGGCCGGGCCATAATTGCGTTCATGTATTCGGAATGTTTTTTTTTACATGGCAATCAAATTTCGTGGGGGAACTTATCTTTTGCCGGCGTGAGGGAGCAGACTGAGACTGGAGTTGTTGTGTTGACATTACAACTACCCGCCAGATGAAAATGTACGGAGGCCATTCACTGAAAACGACACGACACGAAACATTGGACACTTACAGTTACACAGAGAGAGGAACGAGGCCCGGTGGTGGATGTCCACACCTGCATGTTCTACATTGAGACCCCTCTTCTGCAGGAGGACCCCGTTCGAGCCGGGGCCGGGTCGTACCGTGGTAAGACGTCGTTTTTTCTTCATTCTTTCTTTTCTTAGACTTATTAATAATTATGCAATCGCCTTCAAGATCTCGTTTTCTTTTGGGGGGATAATATATATGTAGTACTGTATAACACAAATTCGATTCGCCAGGTGTACTTATTTCTCAACGAGAGAAGTTGCACTCGACTGTGTTACGTGTATCAGGGTAGACTCGCCACTCGCACGTTCGGAGTCATCAAAATCCTGTAGTACCAGACCCGGAACCCACGGAGAGAATTAAGGCCCGGTGATGGATGCCCACCCCTGCATGTCTTCACCTTTATCCCTTCTCTGAACATAATTCTGCAGGAGAACCCCGTTCCATTCGGGGCCGGGCCATGGTGTTATAGCATCGAGATCATATTTTTGCATTCATTCTCTCCTTCCTTGATTTTGCCACCTCCTCTCCTTCAAGATCGCATTTTTGTGGGATGGGAGTGGAATTGTTTTTATGCCAGTGCGTACAGTGCAAACTCGATTCACTAGGTGCACTTACTTCTCCTGGATCAACGATTCAACGAGAGCAGTATGGCGGTGGGTGCACTCGATTGCCTGTCGCTGGCAAGGTAGACTGGACTCACGAGTTATAAGATGCCCAACCAGACCTGGAAGCCACCAAAGAGGACTAAGGCCCGGTGGTGGATGGCCCACATCTGCATAATCTGCATTCCATCCCTGAAAGCAATTCCGCAGGAGAACCCCGTTCAATTCGGGCCCGGGCCATACATCACAAAGAAAGTCCTTTTTTTCGTATTCTTCTAAGACTAGTCTCACAAAATCTGATTCAAAATCATTCAGCTCGGCGGACCACGATACACACTGCGTTCAGGCAGCCCCGCGGCAGACCCTGTCGGAGCTACGTAGACATACAACGGAGCTGTGCCGAGGTGGCTCCGCACAGTCTGCCGCCATCCCTCGGCACACCTCCGTCGTATGGCGACGTAGCTCGACAGAGTCCTTTTACCTGTGCCGCCGGGCCGTCTGAACGCAGTGACACAGAATCTGCTGATTTTGCGACTCTTAGAGTCGAACGTTCAACGAAAAAGGAAATGGGTTCGACATCCGAGTCTCCAACACCCAGCCCTAAACATGAGAGGAGAGGAGAGGCCCGGTGGTGGATGGCCACACCTGTGTTTATTAATTGTTGTCCAAAAGGTACAGCAGGGGAACCCCGTTCGATTCGGGGCCGGGCCATAATTGCGTCCATGTATTCGGAATGTTTTTTTTACATGGCATTCTGATTTCGTGGGGAACTTATCTTTTGCCGGCGAGAGGGAGCAAACTGAGACTGGAGTTGTTGTGTTGACTTTACAACTACCCGCCAGATGAAAATATACGGAGGCCATTCATTGGAACCGACACGACATGACACATTGAACACTTACACAGAGAAAGGACCGACTCGGAGGCCCGGTGGTGTGAGGCCGCACCTGCATCTCATTATAAATAGCTCGTGCAGAATGAGCGGGAGAACCCGTTCGAGTCGGGGCCGGGCCATGGCATACGGCGTTGATAAGGCATTTTTTTTTGCATCCATCCTTCCTAAGACTTATTTTTTGCGCTTTGTTCAAGCTCGCATTTATGGGGGTGGGATTGTTTATCGTATATTACTGCACAGTACAAGCTCAACTTTGTCAACGAGCACAGTCTGGCGGATAAGGCTGTTTGGGTGTTTGACTGCGAACTTTTGCATATTATTATTAAGGTAGACTCAAGATGACGCCACTGAGATAAATCCTACCCACAACGTGGAACCCACCAAGTGAACTAAGGCCCGGTGGTGGATGCCCACGCCTGCACCTTCTAGGCAGAAGGTATTAGATTGCGCAGGAGAATCCCGTTCGATTCGGGGCTGGGCCATATAGTGTTGGACGATCACGTATTTTTCATCACCTTCCTTAGACTTGATTTTGCAATTGCCTTCGAGATCGTATTTTCTTTTGGGGGGATGGTATACCTAGTACTGTACAGTACAAACTCGACCCGCCGGGTGCGCATTCTCAATTGGCGGAATAAAGCTGTTTAGGTTGCACGAACGAGTTGCGACTAGGCAAAATCCTAGTACCAGATCGGGAACCCACCAAGTGAACTGAGGCCCGGTGGTGGGCGCTCACGCCTGCACCTTCTAATCGAGGGAGGATAACGTGCAATTACGCAGGAGAACACCGTTCGATTCAGGGCCGGGCCGTGCTCTTTTGGTGTTTGGTTTTTTCTTCACGTCCTTCAATCTCGCTGGCAAATTGCAAGAATTGATCTCCCCGTCCCGGGCCTTTTTTTGCGTAGAATAGTGAGTGGCGGGACCCAGCTTGAGGGTCTCCTCGTTCAATTCGCACGAATTACATAAACTTTTTGAACGTACGATCCGAGGAGTACGCGTTATGATCCAGCATAATTCAACCCGGGGGGCCGATTTTGCGGCGCAACGAAACAGCCGCATCTCCAACACCTAGCCTTAAACAGGAGAGAGGAAGAGAAGCCCGGTGGTGGGAGCCACGCCTGCGTTCATTTATCGTGGTGTAACAAGTGCAGCAGGAGAACCCCGTTCGATTCGGGGCCGGGTCGTAACTCGTTCAACCAAAATTTTCCCCTCCACCCATCCCTGATTCCCTCCTTCCTTAGACTCTTTGTTCAAGATCACATTTCTTTGGGGTATGATTGTTTAACTTATCAATATACGGTGCACTCGACCCGCGGGGTGCAGTGCTTCTCAATTGGCGGAATAACGTTGTTTGGGTTGCGAATGATTGGATATCCGGCAGAGTTCCGAGATGATGGCCATGGTAATCCTAACCAGACTTGGAGCCCTCAAGTGAACGAAGGCCTGTGGGAGGATGCCTCAATGTGCACCAGGTACAGCAGGTGAGCCCCGTTCGACTCGAGGTCGGGCCATACATGACAAGTTGAGTCCTTTTTTTCGTTTTCAGTCAGTATTATTCTTCAAAATCAGCCGATGTGGCGGGCCCACGATACATGGAACCTGCGGATTTTGCGGCGCTTGGCGTCGAGCGTTCGACGAGTCACGAAGAAGCCACATCTCCAACACCCAGAAATAAGTGGGAGAGGAGGGGCCACCCCTGCGTTCATTCGTCGAAAGCATCCAAAGTAAAGCAGGGGAACCCCGTTCGACTCGGGGTCGGGTCATGGGGGAAAAGCTGGGTCTTTTTTCGTTTTCTGTCAGTATTCTTCTAAGACTAGTGTTACGAAATCCCGATTCAAAATAATTTAATGCGGCGGGCCAAGATATGTAGAACGTGCCGATTTTGCGGCGCTTAGAGTCGAACAAAGAAGGTTCGACATCGTCATATCCAACATCCAGAATAGTGCAGATGAGGAGAAGAGACAAGAGGCCTAGTGGTGGATGCCCACGCCTGCGTTTATTCGTCAATGTGTAACTAATACAGCAGGTGAGCCCCGTTCGACTCGAGGTCGGCCCATGAGGACAATAGCTGCTTTTTTCGTTTTCTTTCAGTATTCTTCCAAGACTAGTCTTACAAACCCGATTCAAAATCATCCAACAGCGGGCCAATTTTGCGGCACGTGGAGACGAACGTTCAACAAAACAGGCTACAGGTTTCGACGTCCGCGACTCCGCATCTCCAACACCCGACCTTGAACAAGCGAGAAGAGAGGAGGCCCGGTGGTGTGTACATGTGGATGTAATTTAATCTCGAGTGATCCGCCTGCAAACCACGCGAATCAATGCTCGGATCCCCACATTATAATTTAACTTCAACTTCAATCGGGAACAGCCGAAGCGTGACTGATTTGCTTAGTCACCTTTCACCTTCTCTTCAGTCTCCTCGCAGCAAGGGGGTCCGAAGATAAGAGATTACCATATGGGGTAGGGGGGGAGGGTGTCTGGCCGACCGCCAAAAAAAAAATTTGTATGTAAAATTTTTTCTGTCCAGATATCAACCCATGTGTGTCCTGGTCCTCTGGGACTTATCTGGGATACCTCTCAGGATGTACCAGAGCAGTTGTCCAGCAAAACATGAGTGAACACTGGATATGTTGTGTTCTCGCCAGCCGCCGGCATGTGGCCATCATTATTATGACATATTTGACAGTTGCCCCGCTCAGCCGATTGGATGCCGAAACAGCCCTTGAGCCTCTGCCGTTAAATTGCTGGCTCCGAAGAGTGCCGATTATCAATAATTCTACAATACCTCGAATGATTTTAAGGTGTTTGCCGCCCTATCAACTCATATTCTAAAACCATCCTTTGGAACATGCTGTACCAATGTCCACAAATTCAGACAGTTTTATTTCTGCATACATTTCCGGCCCACCCCTAATGAAATTTCCAATGGCATTTAGTTAACAAGTTTGATTGGATTGTTAGTTATGTATTAGTACTTTTTACGGCTTCAACTTATTCTAAGTAAAAAATGTTTAGAACATTGTTCCTTCGAATATGATATGACCAACTGTTTATGAGACTCTGTAAATATCCTTGTGAATAATCAGTCTACCATTCTCATGTAGCACCTCCCGGCGCGGAAATGCGCGGCAGCGCTGTTTCCCGAAAAGGGAATTTGATGGCATCAGGTGGCTGTGAGGGGGGGGAGGGTGTCGCCGACCCTCTCAAAAAAAAATTTGTAGGTGATATCAATTTTTCTTATCTTTGGACCCCCTTGCCTCGCAGCCTCGCTGGATGGCCAGCACGACCACCGCCCGCTCCCGTCACTCGTCCTCATTGACACCACCCACGCTAGGCCGGCGGATTCACGCCCTCGAGCGCGCCCATTCCCACACGTGTCGGCGACGGGAGCGATGTCGATATGGACGAGGATGCGGATGTGGGTGGGAGGAGGCATGCACGTTCCCGTCGCCGCCGACGTCGTTTGCTTATGAGTAGGGGGAGGAAGAAGAGGGGGAGGGGTATGCTGAAGACAACGAGGAAGCGAGGGTGCAGAACGACGGGAATGCACACGGGATGCGAAATTCGGCACGCACATTCAAATGCCAAAGACGGGAATGCACATACCGCCGAAGACGACGCCCCGTGCCTCTGGTAACAGCCCTCCCTGCCCGTCCTCTTCGCCCTCTCGCCCCCGATTGGAAACTGGCTTACCAGCGGGGACCACGTCAAGAATCTCCTGTTGTTTGTTTTCTATCTGCATCAGCTGGTTGAGGGTGCGTCTGCCCTTTTCGCTTGCATTACTGTCTATTTATTGGCGCGGAGTAGTCCCCTGGAATTCGTACCTTACCGCGCCGAGTCTTTGTCCGCTTATACTTCTGGTTCGGCACCTCCTTCCGCCGCCCCCGCCCTATCTTGTGTTCAGACACGTCCACATCCATCACCCACCCTCCCGACGCACAAACCGTCGTAGAACACGACGCACGCACAGCGGACCAAGCCCGTGTGCGCGCCCTCGCCCGCTCTGCACCCTCGAGCTCCTCCTCCTCCTCCTCCTCCTCCTCCGCCCACTCGTTCACGTCCTCTCCAGCGCCCCCTGTGCATCCGAATACCGCAAGTGGAAATGCAGTGCAGATGACGAGCCCCATATCCTCGTTCTCCACAGCCCTCCTCGCCCTCCTCACCGCCCTGCGCCCCCTGCTCGATCTCGTCGCGCGCGTCTCAGCACACCCTCTCCTGTATCTGGAAACGCTACCCATTCCAGTCTTCCTTGACGATCTGGAATTAATATACATACGCGGGCTGGATTCTGTCGTAAGAGATTTTTTCGGACTGCGGGACGCGATTGAGGACCAATACATTATCATCTTAAGGTTCCAGAGGACTAGTAAACTCCTCGCCGACATGGCGTCGGAATCTGATCCTCTGATATGGTCATTCGTTCGCTGACCTGGCGCGGGGCGCCCACAAGATCCACCGATTTTATTTACCCTAGAAGAACATCTGTCCAAGCCCTTACTTACTCCGACTGCTCCTGATCTAGCTGTCAATGAATCCGCCCGCCTCTTTTGGTTTGTTGGACTTTCCTGTCCCGGTGGTGGGACGTGGGTTACGAGTGATCCTGGTCGAAGCGACGAAGAAAAAAAGGCGGGTTCGAGGGCTTGGATTCGGAGCGCCCATGTTGAATTTTCGATGCCAGGAAAACCTTATATTCCAGGAGACCTCTCGTACTTCAAGGCTCGGCCGCAGTGCTATGTATCTACAAGACTTGCAAATGGTCCAGGCTGGTCCGTAGATCATGCCCGTTCGATTCAGGTTTGAAATTTGAGCCTTT